TAAGTAGTACAATTAAATTAAAATAAATATCATTAGAATATACGAAAATTTTAAGCGTTTTTAACATCAAACGGTTTTTTTTTTACATCGAAACAATAATTGCTCTAATCCCGAACAGTGAAATAACGGATATGGGCGAGTAACATAATATTATATTATTTACTAGGAATCCAAGTGAATTTAGGAAGTACTTAGGAAAGCGCGCAGTATTTCGCATCCGACGTTCGTGTACGTACGTATGTATTATTATAGAAAATCATAGAAGACATAGGGAAAACCAATTATAAGGAACTGTAATGAATAGAGACAAGTGGAAAGCCATCGAAGTCATTTAATCAATCTAAGGATTGAAAAAAAATAATAATAATAATTCACAACGGCGTGAGCACATCGCGTATTGTAATCTATTGCGATAAATTATTATTCCACTGCGGCGCGGTCAGGTGCCGAAAAACATCCCCATTTCCGACTGGGCGCGCGGGCGATTCGACTACGAAAACTATCGCGATAATACCGCCTGTAACAATAGTATCGCGTACGAACGACGTTATGGTATTTGCACAATTATACCGCGGCACGCACAACGCAAAGGTAATACAACAAAATGAACAGCACACGAGCGATGACCATTGGCCGAGTGCACATCATATATGTGCATACGATGGTCAGCTGATGGACCGTACGACGAGTATACGAAATTGTTCAGTTCGGACGCGCACGTACGTGCCGCAGCGTTTTCATTGTGAAACGCGACTGCAGTCACTACGGGTGACAGGAAAAAAAAAAAGGAAAAAAAAAAAAAAATGAAAAAGCCACCCGGACAATTAGAGCTCGCGACAAATAACTGTACACACGCGCGCGCGCGTGCACGTCGTATACCTGTACACAAAAAAAAAAAAAAAATCCTCCCCCAGCCACTCGCACTGGACACCCCGCGCACGTATCGCGCGATGAAGTGTACCTGCGGCGGCGGCGAATCTGCTCGTAAAAATACACACGTATATACCGTACATACAAATCCATACGTATCACGCGCAACAATATCCGCACATTATAGTATACGTATTATTGTTATTATTTTTATTATGGCGCATTATTGCAGAATATAAAGTACACCGATACGATGTGTACAATACTCGTACGTATAATATATTATTGTACGTGTGCGCGCGCTTGTGTGTATATAAGCCGCCGCCATCGCTAATACGATACACAGACCGTACGGTTATACATCTGTCTCATTATGTGCCGAGCATACGACGTACCCCCGTGTACAATGCGGCGTATGTGTATCGCGCAGGACGGGGATAATAATAATTCTTTATTTCCTCTGGTAACCTATTTTCGGCGGGGTGCGTGCCTGGCAATTTATCGGTTTATGATAACGCGTACACACCTGGACGACGGCGGCGGCGACGGGTCTGCGGCGGCATACCGACGGTCGTCGCCTGTACGTACGCTGTATGCTCGTACATATTCGTTGTTTCTTCTGGATCGAGGTTTTTATCATTTTTATTATTTTTTTATTGGTCATATCGTTCGGACGAATTACGTTGTTATTGTTAACGTACAATAGCATAATTTTATATATATATACGAGTACCGAGAAGAAGTAGGGGGAGAAAACGTGCACCCATATTCGGTTACGTATATTATAAATGGATCATTGACGCGGATTTGATCGATGGCACACCGCTTACACAAAAATCGTATGATACGTGTATTCATTGTCTCGTCGCAGTATATTATATGGACGGGACCCGTCGATCGGAAGATGAACAATTAATCGCCGCGGCGTTCGATTAAAACCCGTGACAGCTCACGTGACCGGACGTCGCGGACAAAATACATATATATATATATATATAGGGTGTAAATACGCGAGTACATGGCAAAATATCATAGCTGAACCGCGGATTATATGCAGCGAAGAAAAAAAAACAAACGTTGTATGAACGTAAACGTGCACAGATTATGTTAAAATATTCGATATAAATTAAATTTAAAAAAAAAAAATCACAACAAATGTACGAAGATGATGAAACGTAATTATTATTAAAAATCATTATTATGTATATTACGTATTTAGAATATTTAATTGGAAAAACGATTACAGTAAAACCTCGATAAGACGGAACTTCGGTGTAACGGAACATTTTTTTAGTCCCGTTTCAAATTACATACAATTAACTAACCCCGTCAAGACGGGAACCCTGTTAACACGGAAAAATATCATGGTCCCAAGCGATTTCGTCTTATCGAGGTTTTACACTATTATCCAAATTACATATAAAGTATTTATTTTAACTTATAGTTCTCGTAACAGTACGCTACTAGATATTGCTCGAAATGGTTCATTGTAAAACCATGGCGCTTGTTATCCAAAATCAGTTTAAATGCAGAAAACGACCGTTCAACATCACAGAACCTCATAAGCCAGTTTTGAACATAAAAACCATGTTTATCATTATTGTATTGGACAGTACAGTCAGGGCCGGCTTAAGGTACAGGTGAGCTAGGCACCTGCCTAGAGCGGCATTTTAAAAATTGACTCGTACATTTTTTTTTATTTCTATCGTTGTTTTATGAATAAGAAAAATGTTTAAATTAATTCATCCGTGAAAACCACTTATCTATGTAATAAAATAATATTGTCTAAAGTTTTTATATTACGGCCTATGTTGGGCGTTTTCAATTATTCCAAAAATATGAATAACCACACAATCACATCTATGATTTCCGATAGTTGCGATTGCAATAGTGATGGGTTTTGAGTAATAATTACATAATTTTTAAATCTTTGTACATATATAAGGAAAAAAATTTAAATATTTTTTTTATCTTGATATGTCACATAAAAATAAGGGGAGAGGCTAAGTTAAAATGAGAGCTCAATTTTTTTTTTTTTAAAGGCGGTAAAATTTAATTTGGCTAACCCTTTGGCTAGTGCACTATTTTTGCTTGGGCCGGCCCTGAGTTCAGCACTTACGCTATTATTGTAAACGTCAATCATACTTAGGGAATCATTTATAGGATTTTTGTTCATTATTAGAGTATGGTTTGTTCTGAAAATACGTCAGGCAGTTCAATTGTTGTCAATAATTCCATCATAACTCGTAATCAATTATGTAAAATGTATATTCATTGCTTTTATACGGATATGTTTTTACACATTTAATCAGTATCATTTACATTATGAATCAGTAAAGTACGTGTACCTGTTAAAAAGGTGACTATATGCATTTATATATACAGACATGAAAATGCCTATAATCTGCGGTCTAATCATAACGTTATCATCAAAGTTCATCCTCCCCTGCCGAGCAAACGTTGTACGAAAATCGCATTTTTTTCGAACAAATAATAGGTAGGTATACGGTTTCAAACACATTTTGATTCGCATATTTAGACCCGTATGTGTATACAAAAGGATTTGGGGTTTGAAAATATTAGCTTTTAAATTTTATACATAATTCTGATCGAAATGAAAAAAAAATATACTAATTGTAGGTACTCATTTGTACTAATTGTTGAATCTGACAAGGAAAGACTTATTGATTTTGTCAAAATATTCATGAATAACTACAATACCTGTGATTTAAGTAATGGTAAACAAGTAATGTTGATGAATCATATTAATTTACCTTTTGTATAATAAATTATAATAATATTAATGTTTTTTCAATGGTTTTACATAATTTTTTAACGCCAAAGCAAAAGGAGCGTCGCGTCGATTGTTGTCGAGACTTGTGATGCGCATCCAAACTTCCTTTCATCAATTGTTACCGATGACGAGACTTTTTGCTCCGGCGTTAAAAAATGAGGAACAAAACGCAAGCACACCTTTCTACGGTGCATTTTTTTCCTTCAAAATCATCGCCATACTATCCTTACTAATTTTCAGTTCGGCTGCTAACATTTTAAGAGATATGTGACGATCTTGGTTTAGTAGCACGCGTACACGAGCCTCGTTTTCGTTGGTAACAACTGTTGTGGGCCAACCATTTCTTTCGTCGTTTTCTAACGAGGTTTTACCTCCTTGAACCGCTTGTACCACGTATAAACAGTAAAGCGTGATACTACACCTTCACCAAAAGCATTGTCAATAATTTTTCGCTTTTCCGTAAAAATTTTTTTGAGTCTAACACAAAATTTAACTGCGGACATTGTTCGAATTTTTCCTCCATTTCAAACTTAATTCGTTAAATACTGAACGGAAAGTGATAATTATTTTGTACACATACTACTGATAAATGTAGCTACATGGGCCAGTTTTATTTGATAGATTGCTTCACTTGTATAGGCGCTGAAGAGAAAGTTGGGGAACTTTTCCGACACACTATGTAAATAGCAGATTTTAAGATTTTGAAATAGGTCGAATGGTTTTTCGCCGGCTGCATCCGAATTGCATGCAAAAAAAAAAAATGTCCAAATTCTATGCCATCTTTTAGAGGGGTCTGTCCGAATTGCATGCCACGTTTTAGAGGGGCCTGTTCGAATCGTATGTCACGTCTTATGGGGGTATGCCATGTACCCGTAAGTTTATTTATCATGCACTTATGTGTACAACTTAAACTTTATTTTTGACTTTTTAAAAATTAGGAGATTCTATATAAAATTTTGTAGTATATGGTTCAATTTTCGATGTCCAAAATTCGATATCTTTGAACATTTTGTCTACTATAAAACCTGAAATAAATACAGAAAGCAAATATCTATATTTTAGATTACTGCTATGTAATAGCCAGCTGGCTATGTATACAAAATCAATATCGTACAACCCATAGCGAGTGTTTTCAACGAGTGTAAAACAAGTACGAAATATTAATTGAACGTTCGTTGTTAACAAGACAATACATAACGAAAACACTGTGGACAGGACGAGAATAAAAATTAAAAAACGATCAAGAAACGAGGAAGTCGCGTTACCATCACGCACGCGTTGTATCGTCCACAACGTTTGTGAACTACAGTTGATCGTACCACGTGATAGAATCGTGATGACGAACCGTTCAGAGAGCACTTCGACCACCAAGAACGACGGCCATAAGTGCAGGCTGTTCGTGGGCAACCTGCCGAAGGTAAAGACGGAAGAGGAGATATTCAACGAAGTGAGCCGCATAACGCGCGGTCATCTGGTGCGTGTGATCACGTACAAGAACTTCCACAACCCATTGATGCACCGGGGCTTCTGCTTCCTGGACTACGGGTCGGTGGCCGCGGCTACGGATGCCAAGCGGGTACTGTCGAAGCAAAAGATGTTCGGGTGCAAGACGATCGTGGACTGGGCGGACCCGGAACCGCAGGTGGACGCGGACACGATGGCCACAGTGCGCATACTGTTCGTCAAGCAGTACGGCGGTATGCTGAACAAGCGCGTGCTTGCCAAGATGTTTGGCCGGTACGGGGTCGTGGAGCGCGTGAAGAACCTGAAGCACTACGCGTTCGTGCACTTTGAGCGGCGCGAGGACGCGCAGTCGGCCATGGACGCGCTGGACTGTTCCAGGGACGCGGCTTCGGGCGTGCTCCTAGACGTCGCGTGGGCCAAGCCGCCGGCGGACAAGCAAACGCGGCAGCGGATGTTGCGTAACCGGGAACGCCGGTTACGGAAATCCGCGGTCGCGGCCATGAGTCAACCGGTTCGCTACGCCCCGCGGCCACCGTGCCGCATTCCCGGAGCCAAAAGACGCGTCGGCCTCGCTCCCACCCCCGCCGCCGCAGAGTACACCAAGTACGACCATTACGTTTACGACTTCGGACCGCAGCAACCGTGCAACCGGTGCACACCCGCCTCTGCGGTGAGAATTCCCGTGGCCGAGGCCAGGTCCGACGAGCGCAACAGCGACAGTGCACGCCGGTGCCGCTTCAACGTCGCGCGCGCGGACCAGTTCAGAGCGTTCCGTCACGATGATGGTGATTGGAAGAAGAAGGGTTGCAGAAAATTGACCATGAATCATTGACATTTTTCAACAGAATTTCCACGAGCTGCGCCAAAAATTATTGACGTCGCCGTAGTATTTTTTACGGTGTTTATAAAAGTTTTTTTATAAAATAAAAATTAAAAAAAAAGTTGTTTTAAATAATTTAGTCAACATGACACAAGTATTCATAGAATTGAAACAGGAAGTATTTCGACATACAGATAGCTCCATCTATAATTTTTTTTTTATTTTTGAATTTTTTTAAAAAACATTGAATTTTATACAATTTAATCAGAATTTCCATACTGTATTGTAAAAATAAACCGCGTTTAAATATATTGATTTCCCATGGAGATATTAAGAGTAATATCGGACTTATGGGACATGTTGTAGATAATATTAACAATATTAAATTTTTGTTCGTTTTTGCCATTTTCGTCAAAAACTGAATCATTTGAGTCATTTTGTGTGCGATTACATTCCTGTGCTATTCTGTTATTATTTATAATTAAAGGTGGTACAGTTTTCTTTTTCTTTTTATCGGGGCTATTAATTGTTGGTGTCATTTTAATTAAGATATGATTCTTAATTAGGGGAATTTAGATAAAAAAGAGTTGGGCCTGGCAATCGGTTGCCACGATGTTGCGTTACTGGTTAGGTGCGTATCTGAATAACTTACCAATACGACAATGAATTATAGATTTATTCTTAATTAATTATTTTACTTTTTTAAGTACCGAAGGGGCCGAAGTCCTTAAGATGTGGTTTTTGTTATTTTCTAATATACGTAAATATAGTGGTTCGTTTGGTATACAATTTAATCTAATCACTTTGTATATAGTAGAGAGATAAATTAAAATTTTCGGATTTGCGAGAAACATGTGCTCACGTCATGACCGTTCAACCGACAATAAAAAAAAATAATAAAGTATAAAAATAATAAATTAGGTATATTTTTTTTTATTAAAATATACGTGAGTAAATTCCTTTGTGCATCAATGTTTTCACACCGATATCAGGTATTGAAAAATGTAGGCAGGTACTTCTTTAAAAAAAAAAAAAATTATTTCTGCTTCATATTAAATAAAGCTGAATAAAAATTTTTTTTTTAATTTCATTAAATAATAAAAACTTCTTTTCTTGTATATCGGGCATAATCATTGGACCTCGAGTTAATTATTTCAGGGAGTAAAGATTCCATGAGAAATGTTGTAGCATATGGTTTCATTTTCGATATCCAAAATTCGAATCTTTGAATATTTTGTCTACTATAAAACTTGAGGTAAATACAGAAAGCAATACGTTTAAATTCGAACATATAAATAATTATTATATTTTAGATTACTGCTATGTAATAGCCAGCTGGCTATGTATACAAAATCAATATCTTATAACCCATAGCGAGTGTTATCAACGAGTATAAAACAAGTACGAAATATTCATCAAACGTTCGTTGTTAATAAGACTATACAAACGGAAACACTGTGAACAGGAAAAGAATAAAAAATAAAAACGATCAAGAAACGAGGAATTTTCGAAATCATCACGCAGGCGTTGTATCGTCGATCACACTCAAGTACTACAGTTGATGATACCACGTCAAAGAATCGCAATGATGAACCGTTCAGAGAGAATTTTGACCACCGATGACGACAGCCAAAAGTGCAGGCTGTTCATGGGCAACCTACCCAAGGTGAAAACGGAAAAAGAGATATTCAACGAAGTAAGCCGCATAACGCGCGGTCATTTGGTGCGTGTGATCACGTATAAGAACTTTGACGACCCTTCGATGCACCGGGGCTTTTGCTTCCTGGACTACGGATCGATGGCCACGGCTTCGAACGCCAAGCGGGCACTGTCGAAGCAGAAGGTGTTCGGGTGCAAGACGTTCGTGGACTGGGCGGACCCGGAACCGCAGGTGGACGCGGACACGATGGCCACGGTCCGCACACTGTTCGTCAGGCTGTACGGTGGCGTGCTGGACGAACGCATGCTGGCCAAGAAGTTTGGCCGGTACGGGGTCGTGGAGCGCGTGAAAAAATTGAAGAACTACGCGTTTGTGCACTTTGAGCGGCGAGGGGATGCGCAGTCGGCCATGGATGCGCTGGATTGTTCCAGGGACGTGGCTTCGGGTGTGTGCCTCGATGTCGCGTGGGCCAAGCCACCGGTGGACAAACGAACGCGACAGCGGATGTTGCGTAACCGGGAACGCCGGGTACGGAAATCTGCGGTCGCGGCCATGGGTCAACCGGTTCGCTACGCCCCGCGGCCACCGTGCCGTGCACCCGGAGACAAAGGACGCATTGGCCCCCCCTCCCGCCTTTGCCGCCACGAAAGTCACCAATTACGACCATCGCGGTTACGCCTTCGGACCACTGCAACCGTGCAACCGATGCATGCCCTCCTCCACAGTGTGCATTCCTGTGGCCAGGGCCACGTCTGACAAACGCAACAATGACAGTTCACGCCGGTTCCGCTTCAACTTCGCGCGCGCAGACCAGTGCAAAGCGGTTCGTCATGACGATGGCGATTGGAAGAAGGGTTGCACGAAACGTTGGACCAGAAACTGTTGAACTTGTCCATGAGAATGTCCTTGAGCTACCCCAAAAACCATTGACGTCACCGTAGTGTTGTTTAGCCGTTTACGATTTTTAAAAGATTCAATCTTTGTTTTATGTTAAAAAAATCCGCATTTTACGAAAAATAAAAATAAAAATAAAAATAAAAATGAAAAAAAAGTTGTTTCAAATAATTTAATCAACATGACGCTAGTGTTCAAACAATTGAAACACAACGTATTGCGTTTTCAAACGTATTTTTAAGAGGCCACTGATCGATATCATGGCACCCGAATACGGAAAGCGTATCGGATCACAACGTGCGTAAATGATGTTTACGTGAAATCTGATTAGACATAATAATAATTTCATTAAAACGCTACAGCACGAGTTACAACTAGGATTACAATTCTAAGAAAAACCTTACTCCTACTCGAATCCGTTAACTTAAAACAACCAATGTAGGGCTTCGCACTTCAGTGGTGTATATAGGGAGGGCCTAGTGGGCTACAACCCCCTCCCCCCGAATTTATGTTTCAAAAAACTTACAAATTATTTTAAATTTTTGTTATATTTATTAATGATGCTTTATGCTTATTTAAAATTTGCGTCCAACGGCAAATATAACCATGTTCCGCATGGGCTGTAAAATTATTTTTGTTTTCGTGATATTATTTTTTTTATTTTTTTTTTTTATTTTAACTACCCAGAGATTAAATGACAAAAACCATTTAGTAATATCAAATATGTAATAAGTTATAGCATTGATTATAAATGGTATTTATAATTAATGGTAATAGCCTTAGATACTATTCAAATTTAAAAGGTTTTATGGCAGAATATGTGAAACACGTAATATATGTTCCATATATTCTGTGGTTTTATTGTATGATTAGATGCTATTTTTAAATTAGTCAGTTTAAAATTGCCTATTAATTATAATACACAATAATACATGGAAAAATAATCAATAGCTTTTACCTACAATTTATAGATAGTCCGGAGATAGATCTCTTTACACAGTATTGGCGTGGGCAGATCATTTTGGTGTAAAAAAAAAGTATTTTTCAATTTTTGGCACTTAGATCACTTTGCCTCGCCACGCCTCGTATCACTTTACCATATTAAAATAGCGTAGTCCATGTTATTTTGATTTTTCGTCATTATCTATGTTATGCTCTTTATTTTCTGAATGGGTGTACGTACAACAAAACAGCGACACTCATGTATGTTTACTGTTCAGTTTTAGTGTACATAAATTTGTTAGATGTTTTGGTACAGAATTTCAAGTCCACTGTGTGGAGGCAGACAACTTTGAATTTTTTCCGCATCCGAAATACATTTTGTAAGTTTTATTCCATGTTGTTCAAAAATTTATAAAACTGTGTTGTAATGTACACTTCCCTGCTTATTTAATTTTAAATCGGTACATATTTTATAATAACTTATTTTTAAATTTGATTTAAGTATTGATTTGATATTATTAAACCAATGATTAAAGTAAATAGGGTACATCATTCTACTCGTACCTATAACAGTGGCGGCTCGTGATGTTCAAAGCGAATTGTGTGTAATTTAGTAATTATAATGTAAATATCCATTTATAAAATAAAATATATTATCATACGTTTTTTTTGTCGTTTTCATTTTTTTCTTTTTTGTATTAATTATTTTATTTTATTTCTGTCCTATTTAGTAAATCGTTTTATGCTCGAATTATGCATATAGAAATTTAGTATATTATATTTATTTATATATTACCCTTTTATGTATATATTTATATTCATGGGCGTGATCAAGGATGGTGGTTTAAATCCCCATGAACTTTATATAATTATAAATATTTATTTTTTTTACATACACATATTTTTATTTTTTATGAATGTGAACACGATTTTTCTTAGTAAAATTGATCCTTTCAACAACATCAGGGGTGGTTTTCGATATCAAATGTTGTATTAGTTAATTTTATATTTCTCAATCGTTTTCCCAATAATTGCGGAAAACCGATGAAAAATTGCAAAAAAATGACACCATTTACGGAATGTCGAAATGTAGGTAAAAATTTGAATTAAAATTGCTTCACAAATTCAATTTTAGTAATTTTTTTAGTTTCTAATTCTTCCATTTTTTTTTCAATTGTTATTCTATTCCTTGAGTACTGACTTCGTAACGCTATATAAGTATTAATTTGTATATTTTTTAAAATATCTATAGAATTAAAAATATTAGGGTGAGAAGAATTAAATGAACTATTTAATTTCCATGGAAAGATTCGCTATTGCTAGTCGTGCGTAATGTCGATGATAAATATTCTGACCATATTTCTGGTGGAAAATCAGCGTTATTTTTTATATATGAATCTAATATATAGTCTACTACAGTAAGCTACTACTGTAAAATTAACAAATAGAGAACATAGAGAACAAATATTCTTTTGATACAAGTCGTTATTACACTTGTACACCTAGACACGAGCCG